GCGACGGGGATGGCACTGCTTTAGACCCCGTGTGATAACGTCCTAAGATGGTTTCTTTTGGCTTCAAACACATAGGTAGAATTGAAAGACCTAGCTGTGTTAGCCTGGAAAATCAGCATACAAAGGGATCTTGTAACACCTTTGAGACTAAACAGAAATTGGTAGCATGAGCATTCCTAGACTTGAGCCTACTTCCTCAGGCGCATTGGTGCTTTGGATCATCAAGTTAATGTTATGTGCATTTACACTGTAGAAATAATGCAGCATGTCACCACTTTAACTGCGATCCTCCATCTTACAGACTACACATAAAGTTACCACAGTGGTGGTTGTATTGTTGTGTGTCATCAAGTTGTTTCCAACTTATGGCAACCCTAAGGTGAATGTTTCGGGGTTTTCTTGGCAAGATTTATTCAAAGATTTGCCATTGCCTTCCCCAGAGGCTGAAAGCATGTGACTTGCCCAAGGTCATCCAGTGGGTTTCATGGCCAAGCCAGGAATCAAACCATGGTCTCCAGGGTCGCAGTCCGACGCTTAAACCACTATGCCATGTTGGCTCTCTACTTCAGCGATACTCAAACTTTTTACCCTTGGGATCCCCTTTACATCTATATGCAGATGTCACACCCCTCTAACTCAACACAGTATATGAATAAAAAAAATATTTTGTTTATTAATGTGTGTATTTTCATTTACACATTCATGTATATTCATATTTCAACATTTTATAAAGAAATAATATCATTCAAATTAGAACAGTTTTATTTAAGTAATCCAATATTGAATTCAACACGTGTACATTTAGCGCATAAAAAGGTTTGGGAAGAGGAGGAGGGATCAGGGCCTCCAAGTCTGGCACCCCTCATGGACAACTGCACACACACCCCAGGGGTCCTGTCCCAATCGTTTGAGACCCACTGCATAACCAGATTGAAAACGAGATGACTTCAGTAATGGTTATGTAGAAGAGGGTATTTCAGGAGGTGTTGCTTACTACGCAACCTGGTAACCTACTGAAATTCCCTCTTCCACACAGCCATTAAAGATACAGGAGCTGATAATACAAATACCACTTGACTGGCAACTTAGGGTCTTTGCAGACTGCTAGAAATAGTGCAAATTGAGTCCACTTTAACTGCCCTGGCTCAGTGCTAGGGAATCATGGGAATTGTATTTTTTTTCTGAGACATTGAGCCTTCTCTGTCAGAGAGCTCTGGTGGGAGAATAAACTATAGTTCTCATGATTCCCTAGCACTGAGTCAGGGCAGTTAAAGTGGATTCAATTTGCACTATTTCTGGCAGTCTGCAAAACAGGTAAGTTTTCTGGTGTTAAGACCTCTCAGTGCCTCAGGTTGGCTCAGAGTAGGCCATCTTTCAACAGAGGTGAAAGTATGTGGGGGGAGGGTGT